TTGAGGCTGTATATGGGCTGTGATGTGTCTGATGATGTATATGGGCTGTGATGTGGCTGATGCTGTATATGGGCTGTTATAGATCTGATGCTGTATATGGGCTGGGATATGTCTGAGGCTGTATATGGGCTGGGATGTGTCTGATGTTGTATATGGGCTGGGATATGTCTGAGGCTGTATATGTGCTGGGATATGTCTGATGTTGTATATGGGCTGGGATATGTCTGATGTTGTATATGGGCTGGGATATGTCTGATGCTGTATATAGGCTGGGATATGTCTGATGTTGTATATGGGCTGGGATATCTCTGAGGCTGTATATGGGCTGCGATATGTCTTGTGCTGTATATGGGCTGGGATGTGTCTGGTGCTGTATATGGGCTGGGATATGTCTCATGCTGTATATGGGCTGTGATGTGTCTGAGGCTATATATGGGCTGGGATGTGTCTGAGGCTGTATATGGGCTGTGATGTGTCTGAGGCTGTATATGGGCTGGGATATGTCTGAGACTGTATATATGTTGGAATATGTCTGATGCTGTATATGGGCTGGGATGTGTCTCAGGCTGTATATTGGCTCGGATGTGTCTGATGCTGTATATAGACTGGGATATGTCTGATACTGTATATGGGCTGTGATATGTCTGAGGCTGTATATGGGCTGTGATGTGTCTGAGGCTGTATATGGGCTGGGATGTGTCTGATGCTGTATATGGGCTGTGATGTGTCTGCGGCTGTATATGGGCTGGGATGTGTCTGAGGCTGTATATGTGCTGAGTTGTGTCTGAGGCTGTATATGGGCTGTGATGTGTCTGAGGCTGTATATTGGCTGGGATATGTCTGAGACTGTATATATATTGGAATATGTCTGATGCTGTATATTGGTTGGGATGTGTCTGAGGCTGTATATTGGCTCGGATGTGTCTGATGCTGCTTATAGGCTGGGATATGACTGAGGCTGTATATGGGCTGGGATATGTCTGATGCTGTATATGTGCTGGGATGTGTCTGAGGGTGTATATGGGCTGGGATGTGTCTGATGCTGTATATGGGCTTGGATATGTCTGAGGCAGTATATGGGCTGGGATGTGTCTGAGGCTGTATATTGACTGTGATGTGTCTGAGGCTGTATATGGGCTGGGATATGTCTGAGGCTGTATATGGACTGGGATGTGTCTGAGGCTGTATATGGGCTGGGATATGTCTGAGGCTGTATATGTGCTGGGATATGTCTGAGGCTGTATATGGGCTGGGATATGTCTGATGTTGTATATAGGCTGGGATATGTCTGATGTTGTATATGGGCTGGGATATCTCTGAGGCTGTATATGGGCTGCGATATGTCTGGTGCTGTATATGGGCTGGGAAGTGTCTGGTGCTGTATATGGGCTGGGATATGTCTCATGCTGTATATGGGCTGTGATGTGTCTGAGGCTGTATATGGGCTGGGATGTGTCTGAGGCTGTATATGGGCTGTGATGTGTCTGAGGCTGTATATGGGCTGGGATATGTCTGAGACTGTATATATGTTGGAATATGTCTGATGCTGTATATGGGCTGGGATGTGTCTCAGGCTGTATATTGGCTCGGATGTGTCTGATGCTGTATATAGACTGGGATATGTCTGATACTGTATATGGGCTGTGATATGTCTGAGGCTGTATATGGGCTGTGATGTGTCTGAGGCTGTATATGGGCTGGGATGTGTCTGATGCTGTATATGGGCTGTGATGTGTCTGCGGCTGTATATGGGCTGTGATGTGTCTGAGGCTGTATATGTGCTGAGTTGTGTCTGAGGCTGTATATGGGCTGTGATGTGTCTGAGGCTGTATATTGGCTGGTATATTTCTGAGACTGTATATATATTGGAATATGTCTGATGCTGTATATTGGTTGGGATGTGTCTGAGGCTGTATATTGGCTCGGATGTGTCTGATGCTGCTTATAGGCTGGGATATGACTGAGGCTGTATATGGGCTGGGATATGTCTGATGCTGTATATGTGCTGGGATGTGTCTGAGGCTGTATATGGGCTGGGATGTGTCTGATGCTGTATATGGGCTTGGATATGTCTGAGGCAGTATATGGGCTGGGATGTGTCTGAGGCTGTATATGGACTTTGATGTGTCTGAGGCTGTATATGGGCTGGGATATGTCTGAGGCTGTATATGGACTGGGATGTGTCTGAGGCTGTATATGGGCTGGGATATGTCTGAGGCTGTATATGTGCTGGGATATGTCTGAGGCTGTATATGGGCTGGGATGTGTCTGATGCTGTATATGGGCTGGGATATGTCTGAGGCTGTATATGGGCTGGGATATGTCTGATGCTGTATATGGGCTGGGATGTGTCTGATGCTGTATATGGGCTGGGATATGTCTGATGTTGTATATGGGCTGGGATGTGTCTGATGCTGTATATGGGCTGTGATGTGTCTGAGGCTGTATATGGGCTGGGATGTGTCTGATGCTGTATATGGGCTGGGGTATGTCTGAGGCTGTATATGGGCTGGCATGTTTCGGAGGCTGTATATGGGCTGGGATGTGTCTGATGCTGCATATGGGCTGGGATATGTCTGAGGCTGTATATGGGCTGTGATGTGTCTGATGCTGTATATGTGCTGAGTTATGTCTGAGGCTGTATATGGGCTGTGATGTGTCTGAGGCTGTATATTGGCTGGGATATGTCTGAGACTGTATATATCTTGGAATATGTCTGATGCTGTATATTGGCTGGGATGTGTCTGAGGCTGTATATTGGCTCGGATGTGTCTGATGCTGCTTATAGGCTGGGATATGACTGAGGCTGTATATGGGCTGGGATATGTCTGATGCTGTATATGGGCTGGGATGTGTCTGAGGCTGTATATGGGCTGGGATGTGTCTGATGCTGTATATGGGCTTGGATATGTCTGAGGCAGTATATGGGCTGGGATGTGTCTGAGGCTGTATATCGACTGTGATGTGTCTGAGGCTGTATATGGGCTGGGATATGTCTGAGGCTGTATATGGACTGGGATGTGTCTGAGGCTGTATATGGGCTGGGATGTGTCTGATGCTGTATATGGGCTGGGATATATCTGAGGCTGTATATGGGCTGGGATATGTCTGAGGCTGTATATGGGCTGGGATGTGTCTGAGGCTGTATATGGGCTGGGATATGTCTGATGTTGTATATGGGCTGGGATGTGTCTGATTCTGTATATGGGCTGTGATGTGTCTGAGGCTGTATATGGGCTGGGATGTGTCTGATGCTGTATATGGGCTGGGATGTGTCTGATGCTGTATATGGGCTGGGATGTGTCTGAGGCTGTATATGGACTGTGATGTGTCTGAGGCTGTATATGGGCTGGGATATGTCTGAGGCTGTATATGGACTGGGATGTGTCTGAGGCTGTATATGGGCTGGGATGTGGCTGATGCTGTATATGGGCTGGGATATGTCTGATGCTGTATATGGGCTGGGATATGTCTGAGGCTGTATATGGGCTGGGATGTGTCTGAGGCTGTATATGGGCTGGGGTATGTCTGATGCTGTATATGGGCTGGGATGTTTTGGAGGCTGTATATGGGCTGGGATGTGTCTGATGCTGCATATGGGCTGGGATATGTCTGAGGCTGTATATGGGCTGTGATGTGTCTGAGGCTGTATATGGTCTGGGATATGTCTGAGGCTGTATATGGGCTGTGATGTGTCTGAGGCTGTATATGGGCTGGGATGTGTCTGAGGCTGTATATGGGCTGGGATGTGTCTGATGCTGTATATGGGCTGGGATATGTCTGATGCTGTATATGGGCTGGGATATGTCTGAGGCTGTATATGGGCTGGGATGTGTCTGATGCTGTATATGGGCTTGGATGTGTCTGAGGCAGTATATGGGCAGGGATGTGTCTGAGGCTGCATATGGACTGTGATGTGTCTGAGGCTGTATATGGGCTGGGATATGTCTGAGGCTGTATATGGGCTGGGATGTGTCTGAGGCTGTATATGGGCTGGGATGTGTCTGATGCTGTATATGGGCTGGGATTTGTCTGAGGCTGTATATGGGCTGGGATATTTCTGAGGCTGTTTATGGGCTGGGATGTGTCTGATGCTGTATATGGGCTGGGATGTGTCTGATGTTGTGTATGGGCTGGGATGTGTCTGATTCTGTATATGGGCTGTGATGTGTCTGAGGCTGTATATGGGCTGGGATGTGTCTGATGCTGTATATGGGCTGGGATGTGTCTGATGCTGTATATGGGCTGGGATGTGTCTGAGGCTGTATATGGGCTGGGGTATGTCTGAGGCTGTATATTAGCCGGGATGTTTCGGAGGCTGTATATGGGCTGGGATGTGTCTGATGCTGCATATGGGCTGGGATATGTCTGAGGCTGTATATGGGTTGGGATGTGTCTGAGGCTGTATATGGTCTGGGATATGTCTGAGGCTGTATATGGGTTGTGATGTGTCTGAGGCTGTATATGGGCTGGGATGTGTCTGAGGCTGTATATGGGCTGGGATGTGTCTGATGCTGTATATGGGCTGGGATGTGTCTGATGCTGTATATGGGCTGGGATGTGTCTGATGCTGTATATGGGCTGGGATATGTCTGATGCTGTATATGGGCTGGGGTATGTCTGATGCTGTATATGGGCTGGGATGTTTCGGAGGCTGTATATGGGCTGGGATGTGTTTGATGCTGCATATGGGCTGGGATATGTCTGAGGCTGTATATGGGCTGGGATATGCCTGAGGCTGTATGTGGACCTTCAGTTCAGCGGATCACCCTGTCCAGGCCCACCACGGTGAGGCGTACATCTTATCGACTATTGTCAGCATTATTTATAGTTCATGTGTTTATTGCTGTTGGTGTATTATTGGTAATACTTCATTGACCTGTTTCCAGTCACTAGACTGGCCTCAAGGGGACACCTTCCAGACACTTGCTCTCACGGGCAGGACAAACACAAACACCTTCCAGACACTTGCTCTCACGGGCAGGACAAACACAAACAGCTTTCTATTTATGAACTTTATTAAAAACAGCTAGTGACAACCTCACAGACGATCACGCAATGGTGTCTTTCAGATTATATTCTCAACACAAACTGAGTTCATGTTCATAAAAATGATCTTGTATGACAACGCCAGTTCGTCATAATCGGACAGGTCAGAGGACACATTGTGTTGCCTCCTGTACAGCACAAATCTCGTCTACTGTTATATCCACAGCGTCTTCATCAACCGTTCATCAACGTCATCCCCCGCTGCTGGGGTACCTTCAGATCCCGAGAGTGTAAAGCTTCCTGATGTTACCCTCCATGGGTTTCATTGAAGCCTCGATCTTATTAGCTGTATCCAGAAGGACCTTGACGATCACCTGCTTCATCCAGTTCCCACACACATCGACATCAGTCGGCAAACAAGACAGGTTCAACAAGAATGGTGACGGTGCGGGAGGGCTACTCGCTGTTGTCTTTGGATACCGGATGTCGTATCGTGGAAGTTTTCCCACGATGCACCGGAGAAGCTGCAACTTGTCATTCGTCCCAGTGAGTCCTCCAACTGCTTCCTTGACTTGACCAACTGTTGATGCAAAGTTAACAACTACGTCAATCACTCTGGCTGCGTCGGCTCTTACAACGCTGGGTGCATTCCCGACCTCAACCATAAACACATATTCAGCCAGACCGACATAGGAAGCCACAGATGCCGTAGCATCAACCAACCTGTTCCAGCACGCACATGGGTTGTATGTGTCCAACAAACATGCTATAGCCATTGCTACCGACTTGATGTGGTTCACCACTACGTGACTCTGTAGCCACACTGACAACAAGGCCGACACCTGCTCGGCCACCGCTGGACTGGTCACTGTGTCCACTTCTTCTGTGTAACTTACAACTTGCGGCTCACTGAAGGGAGCACTTGCCAGCACCTCCACTGACTTGGTGTTCCCAAACAGTTCCAGCACAGGACAGTAAGATTTGTCACCAATGTTAATGTAGCCCACTTGCTTGGTGTTATTCACGTACACACACAAGTTCTGCTCAACTGGCACAAGACTGATAACGTTCTGACAGGTAGCGTCTTCACTTCCCAGATCTATGGTTCGGAATCGGTCGTCTCGTGTGACGCTGGCTGGTATTGTGTCTACAGGAATTATTGCTGGATCATCTGTGCACAGACCAACCCGCATGTGACCCGAGGCTGCTAACTGAACGCTGGTTAGCTTGAACTCCACCTCCATTCCAGGTGCTACTGGTGTCTGTGTAAAACACACGTACCCTCCCTTGGTCCCCAGACTGGAGGAAGTAGATCCACGAGCGGCCCGTGTTTCCGTTGTAGTGATGTTGCAGCCGTGTACATCGTGGAATCTGTTGTTCACGACTTCTACCGATGTTACCTGGCCAAGGAGTTCAATGAAAGCCCACATGTGCGTGACCTCTGTGTCTGGCTTGTGCTTATATGGAAACTCTTGTTTATCATCCTTACTTGAACAGAATGTGATCTTTCCATTTGAGAAGGAGAAATATATCACAGCATTGGGGTATGCGCACGTGTCCATCGAAGGTTCACAAATTATGAAATCATCACACGATTTAACACTGAGCAATGGCTTCTGCAACACGGAAGTATTGTGGAGGAAATTCGGGTCCTTTTTCAAGAATCCAAGTCTGAATTTTCCGTGTTTCCCCTCAAATGTCTCCAATATTCTAAAATGCACGGCTTTGTCATGCGAACTGTTTTCACTAACGAAACACAAGCCATGCTGATAGCCATCCCCTGTGCGCTCTGCACGCGTGTTTCCATTACTGAGTGACACTGCCGTGCCATGAATCACCTCGTCAAATGTACGGCCTGCCGCACTACTCTTGTGAACATTTTGGTTGATTGTAACGGATTTGGCACGGGAAATGTTGAAAAATCTTCCAATATATGTTTTGTTACTTGTAATGTTGAGATTTTGTCGGTTGCCAAAGGTTTCTGATGACTGCCCAATCTTCTCGTAATCAGTTTCATAGTCAGATTCTAAACTACTGTTTTCACCCTCCGCCATGATAGACCTGTTACCTGGCGAGGTTAACCGCCAACAGCAGTTTCAGATTCAACTCTAGTCTGTCTCACAGTCCCTGAACCACATTAATTTCCCTACTGCCAAGCTCTCTCTGCAGTGCTAAAGCCCTAAATAAAGCAAGTCTAGATTTCCTCAGGTTCTGAATCTCTGGTCTCCCTAGGGCTCCTTATCAATATAAATGGGCTTGTTTGTTACTATCAAAATTAGATATATTCAGAGACTAAGCCTTAGTCAACTTCAACTCCGGTAACATCTAACACAGTCATTAAACAATGCATGCATGAACTGTACACAACATATTGAGTCAGCACCTTTACACAAGTCACTCATATCTGAACTGTACACAACGTCAGAGGAAACTGTCCTGCAACAACCACCTGACCTACATAGGCTTTTAATACCATATCCTCCTCATGATGTTTGCAAGTGGCGCTGTTCTGGACGCTACGTGCATTAAGTCCTTACGATGCTGCCTCCAGGGTCCAGCTACACCACACATGGCAGCTATCAGACATATCCCAGCTATCAGGCTGAGTTGGTGAAGTATTTCCTCATCACAACAAAGTATTACCGATGGGAAAATGGCGACTTCCTGCACACATCGAACAGGGCTATCACACAGCAGTGACGTCACAAGCATTATGCCAGGTACATTACGGGGCCGGTAACACTGCACAACCACAACTTGAGGCTGACAGGTGTGGTGATGTTCACATTGCTGTCTACAGTCACCTTCAACACGAACTGCTTTGTACCTGTTTTGCGACAGATAAACTAGAATTGATTTATAAATGTATATATATAATTAAACGTTAAATAAACATCTATAGTTCCCACATGGTTCAAAGGTTTCAGTGTGTGGGGACCACATGTAGAGAGTCTCCATGTTTTCAGTGTGTGGAGACCACGTGTAGAGAGTCTCCATCTTTTCAGTGTGCGGGGACCACATGTAGATAGTCTCAATATTTACAGTGTGTGGAGACCACATGTAGATTGTTTCCATGTTTTCAGTGTGTGGAGACCACATGTAGATTGTTTCAGTGTTTTCAGTGTCTGGAGACCACGTGTAGAGAGTCTCCATGTTTTCAGTGAGTGGAGACCACATGTAGATTGACTGAATGTTTTCAGTGTGTATCAGTGTGTGGTGTCTCCATGTTTCAAGTGTGTGGAGACCACATGTAGATTGTCTCCATGTTTTCAGTGTTTGGGGACCACATGTTGAGAGTCTGAATGTTTTGAGTGTGTGGGGACCACATGTAAATAGTCTGAATGTTATCAGTGTGGGGACCACATGTAGATAGTCTGAATGTTATCAGTGTGTGGGGACCACATGTAGATAGTCTGAATGTTATCAGTGTGTGGGGACCACATGTAGATAGTCTGAATGTTATCAGTGTGTGGGGACCACATGTAGATAGTCTGAATGTTATCAGTGTGTGGGGACCACATGTAGATAGTCTGAATGTTATCAGTGTGTGGGGACCACATGTAGATAGTCTGAATGTTATCAGTGTGTGGGGACCACATGTAGATAGTCTGAATGTTTTCAGTGTGTGGGGACCACATGTAGATAGTCTGAATGTTTTCAATGTGTGGAGAGTCTCCATGTTTTCAGTGTGCGGGGACCACATGTAGATTGTTGGTTATGTGTTCAGTGTGCGGGGACCACATGTAGATTGTTTCCATGTTGTCAGTGTGCGGGGACCACATGTAGATTGTTGGTTATGTTTTCAGTGTGCGGGGACCACATGTAGATTGTTTCCATGTTGTCAGTGTGCGGGGACCACATGTAGATTGTTTCCATGTTTTCAGTGTGCGGGGACCACATGTAGATTGTCTCCATGTTTTCAGTGTGCGGGGACCACATGTAGATTGTTTCCATGTTGTCAGTGTGCGGGGACCACATGTAGATTGTCTCCATGTTTTCAGTGTGCGGGGACCACATGTAGATTGTTGGTTATGTGTTCAGTGTGCGGGGACCACATGTAGATTGTTTCCATGTTGTCAGTGTGCGGGGACCACATGTAGATTGTTTCCATGTTGTCAGTGTGCGGGGACCACATGTAGATTGTTGGTTATGTTTTCAGTGTGCGGGGACCACATGTAGATTGTTGGTTATGTGTTCAGTGTGTGGGGACCACATGTAGATAGTCTGAATGTTTTCAATGTGCGGGGACCACATGTAGATTGTTGGTTATGTTTTCAGTGTGCGGGGACCACATGTAGATTGTTGGTTATGTGTTCAGTGTGTGGGGACCACATGTAGATAGTCTGAATGTTTTCAATGTGTGGAGAGTCTCCATGTTTTCAGTGTGCGGGGACCACATGTAGATTGTTGGTTATGTGTTCAGTGTGCGGGGACCACATGTAGATTGTTTCCATGTTGTCAGTGTGCGGGGACCACATGTAGATTGTTTCCATGTTGTCAGTGTGCGGGGACCACATGTAGATTGTCTCCATGTTTTCAGTGTGCATGTAGATTGTTGAGTTATGTGTTCAGTGTGCGGGGACCACATGTAGATTGTTTCCATGTTGTTCAGTGTGCGGGGACCACATGTAGATTGTTTCCATGTTTTCAGTGTGCGGGGACCACATGTAGATTGTTGGTTATGTGTTCAGTGTGCGGGGACCACATGTAGATTGTTTCCATGTTTTCAGTGTGCGGGGACCACATGTAGTTGGTTCAATGTTGTCAGTGTGCGGGGACCACATGTAGATTGTTTCCATGTTTTCAGTGTGCGGGGACCACATGTAGATTGTCTCCATGTTTTCAGTGTGCGGGGACCACATGTAGATTGTCTCCATGTTTTCAGTGTGCGGGGACCACATGTAGATTGTTGGTTATGTGTTCAGTGTGCGGGGACCACATGTAGATTGTTTCCATATTTTCAGTGTGCGGGGACCACTGGTTTGGGGACCAGTGCAGCAGTCGCTGCAATTGCATCAACGTGAACGAGGTCTGCGACAAGACAGGCGGTAGATGCATCAGCGGAACCAGGCCGACAACGTCCACGTTGAAGCCGTCGTCGGGTAAAATTACCAAATGCCTCTTGAATATCACTTGTATGTACTTTCCCTACACCTAGGTATCGTTCGGAAGATATGTCACAATAATAGTAAGGAGGGGAGGATATATGTCACTAGAATAGTAAGGAGGGGAGGATATATGTCACAAGAATAGGAAGGAGGGGAGGATATATGTCACAAGAATAGTAAGGAGGGGAGGATACATGTCACAATAATAGTAAGGAGGGGAGGATATATGTCACTAGAATAGTAAGGAGGGGATTATATATGTCACAAGAATAGGAAGGAGGGGATTATATATGTCACAAGAATAGGAAGGAGGGGAGGATACATGTCACAATAATAGTAAGGAGGGGAGGATATTTGTCACAAGAATAGGAAGGAGGGGAGGATATATGTCACAAGAATAGTAAGGAGGGGAGGATATATGTCACAAGAATAGTAAGGAGGGGAGGATATATGTCACTCGAATAGTAAGGAGGGGAGGATATATGTCACAAGAATAGTAAGGAGGGGAGGATATATTTCACAAGAATAGTAAGGAGGGGAGGATATATGTCACAAGAATAGTAAGGAGGGGAGGATATATGTCACAAAAATAGGAAGGAGGGGAGGATATATTTCACAAGGATAGTAAGAGGGGAGCATGTAAGGACCGGTGTCGTGATGTGGAATGTAGCTGACAAGTCGATACATCCCACACGCAGATGTTTGAAATACACGAGACATGTGGTTTATTCATGCAAGTGTAACGGCCATATAATGTCCGAGTCACAGCTGGGATTCGAACCATGGCCCTTCTGATTCGAAGTCCACATGACCAAAGAGGTTTGCCACGTCAGCAAGCTGACAAGGTAAGGATGTCATCTGTGAGATGACTCCACGCCTTGCTACACTGACAAGGTAAGGATGTCATCTGTGGGATGACTCCACGCCTTGCTACACTGACAAGGTAAGGATGTCATCTGTGGGATGACTCTGACAAGGTAAGGATGTCGCCTCAACGCCCTGCTACACTGACAAGGTAAGGATGTCATCTGTGGGATGACTCCACGCCCTGCTACACTGACAAGGTAAGGATGTCATCTGTGGGATGACTCCACGCCCTGCTACACTGACAAGGTAAGGATGTCATCTGTGGGATGACTCCACGCCCTGCTACACTGACAAGGTAAGGATGTCATCTGTGGGATGACTCCACGCCCTGCTACACTGACAAGGTAAGGATGTCATCTGTGGGATGACTCCACGCCCTGCTACACTGACAAGGTAAGGATGTCATCTGTGGGATGACTCCACGCCCTGCTACACTGACAAGGTAAGGATGTCATCTGTGGGATGACTCCACGCCCTGCTACACTGACAAGGTAAGGATGTCATCTGTGGGATGACTCCACGCCCTGCTACACTGACAAGGTAAGGATGTCATCTGTGGGATGACTCCACGCCCTGCTACACTGACAAGGTAAGGATGTCATCTGTGGGATGACTCCACGCCCTGACAAGGTAAGGATGTCATCTACACTGACAAGGATATCAGGATCCATCATCTGTGGGATGACTCCACGCCCTACTACACTGACAAGGTAAGGATGTCATCTGTGGGATGACTCCATGCCCTGCTACACTGACAAGGTAAGGAGGATGTCAGGATGACTCATCTGTGACAAGGTAAGGATGTCATCTGTGGGATGACTCACTCCACGCCCTGCTACACTGACAAGGTAAGGATGTCATCTGTGGGATGACTCCATGCCCTGCTACACTGACAAGGTAAGGATGTCATCTGTGGGATGACTCCATGCCCTGCCCTGCTACACTGACAAGGTAAGGATGTCATCTGTGGGATGACTCCACGCCCTGCTACACTGACAAGGTAAGGATGTCATCTGTGGGATGACTCCATGCCTTGCTACACTTACAAGGTTAGGATGTCATCTGTGGGATGACTCCACGCCCTGCTACACTGACAAGGTAAGGATGTCATCTGTGGGATGACTCCACGCCCTGCTACACTGACAAGGTAAGGATGTCATATGTGGGATGACTCCACGCCCTGCTACACTGACAAGGTAAGGATGTCATCTGTGGGATGACTCCACGCCCTGCTACACAAGCAGATACAAGAGTCACAATACCGCGAAAGGGTTGGTTCGTGCTTGTTGGTGTGTTTATCAGTGTTGATGTGTTTATCAGTGTTGATGTCGATGATCAGGCCAGAGAAGGGTGAGTGAGTGAAGGGAGAGAGAAAGACGGAAGGAGAAAGACTGGAAGGGAGAGGATGGAAGGATGGGATGAGCTATGTTGATGATGTTGATGTTTCCTGTTATCTGATTGGCAGACATTTGTGGCTTTAACGGGTATCAGTGTATCATGTTTTTCATGTTCGTATTTATGTATGTTTCGTGTTTGATCAATAACTTCATCGTCTTGAGAAACAATGTCACGTGATATGTCTGCATTGCGCCGATACTAACCACAATGTCATGACTGTAACAGCTTGACGCGCAACTATTAATGGCAACAATTTCAGGCCTACCACAAAAAACTTTCCCACTGTGCAGGAAAACGCTGAAAAGTCCACATTAAACATGGAAATAGCAACATAATACCTCGCTACTGAAACAGTAAAAACAGCAACTTTAAATCGCTAAAACAGGATCAACAAGGAAGAGCCTGCATTGCACACTTGTTTGGTTTACGTTCCATTCGTATGAAATGCTTGACAGCAATTACTTCGACATATTCAATACCTTTTCTACGCATGCGCAGTAGAGGTCAAAGTTCGCTGATATAAAAATGTTGCAGTTTCATAGTCATTCGTTGCCGTTTTTCTGACCATCCATGTATGATCCTTGCGTATTACCGTCCCTGTATGATCCTGGCGTATTACCGTCCATGTATGATCCTGGCGTATTACCGTCCATGTATGATCCTGGCGTATTACCGTCCCTGTATGATCCTGGCGTATTACCGTCCATGTATGATCCTGGCGTATTACCGTCCATGTATGAACCTGGCGTATTACCGTCCCTGTATGATCCTGGCGTATTACCGTCCCTGTATGATCCTGGCGTATTACCGTCCATGTATGATCCTGGCGTATTACCGTCCCTGTATGATCTTGGCGTATTACCGTCCCTGTATGAACCTGGCGTATTACCGTCCATGTATGATCCTGGCGTATTACCGTCCCTGTATGATCCTGGCGTATTACCGTCCCTGTATGATCCTGGCGTATTACCGTCCATGTATGATCCTGGCGTATTACCGTCCCTGTATGATCCTGGCGTATTATCCGTCGTCCCTGTATGATCCTGGCGTATTACCGTCCCTGTATGATCCTGGCGTATTACCGTCCCTGTATGATCCTGGCGTATTACCGTCCCTGTATGATCCTGGCGTATTACCTGTATGATCTGGCGTATTACCGTCCCTGTATGATCCTGGCGTATTACCGTCCATGTATGATCCTGGCGTATTACCGTCCATGTATGATCCTGGCGTATTACCGTCCATGTATGATCCTGGCGTATTACCGTCCATGTATGATCCTGGCGTATTACCGTCCTGTATGATCCTGGCGTATTACCGTCCCTGTATGATCCTGGCGTATTACCGTCCTGTATGATCCTGGCGTATTACCGTCCCTGTATGATCCTGGCGTATTACCGTCCATGTATGATCCTGGCGTATTACCGTCCCTGTATGATCCTGGCGTATTACCGTCCCTGTATGATCCTGGCGTATTACCGTCCATGTAGCAGTCTGGCGTATTACCGTCCTGTATGATCCTGGCGTATTACCGTCCATGTATGATCCTGGCGTATTACCGTCCCTGTATGATCCTGGCGTATTACCGTCCCTGTATGATCCTGGCGTATTACCGTCCCTGTATGATCCTGGCGTATTACCGTCCCTGTATGATCCTGGCGTATTACCGTCCCTGTATGATCCTGGCGTATTACCGTCCCTGTATGATCCTGGCGTATTACCGTCCCTGTATGATCCTGGCGTATTACCGTCCATGTATGATCCTGGCGTATTACCGTCCATGTATGATCCTGGCGTATTACCGTCCCTGTATGATCCTGGCGTATTACCGTCCCTGTATGATCCTGGCGTATTACCGTCCCTGTATGATCCTGGCGTATTACCGTCCCTGTATGATCCTGGCGTATTACCGTCCATGTATGATCCTGGCGTATTACCGTCCATGTATGATCCTGGCGTATTACCGTCCATGTATGATCCTGGCGTATTACCGTCCCTGTATGATCCTGGCGTATTACCGTCCCTGTATGATCCTGGCGTATTACCGTCCCTGTATGATGATCCTGGCGTATTACCGTCCCTGTATGATCCTGGCGTATTACCGTCCCTGTATGATCCTGGCGTATTACCGTCCCTGTATGATCCTGGCGTATTACCGTCCCTGTATGATCCTGGCGTATTACCGTCCCTGTATGATCCTGGCGTATTACCGTCCCTGTATGATCCTGGCGTATTACCGTCCCTGTATGATCCTGGCGTATTACCGTCCCTGTATGATCCTGGCGTATTACCGTCCCTGTATGATCCTGGCGTATTACCGTCCCTGTATGATCCTGGCGTATTACCGTCCCTGTATGATCCTGGCGTATTACCGTCCCTGTATGATCCTGGCGTATTACCGTCCCTGTATGATCCTGGCGTATTACCGTCCATGTATGATCCAGGCGTATTACCGTCCCTGTATGATCCTGGCGTATTACCGTCCCTGTATGATCCTGGCGTATTACCGTCCCTGTATGATCCTGGCGTATTACCGTCCATGTGTGATCCTGGCGTATTACCGAACTGAGAACATCACTGTATATGGTACAGCCTTCGCCGTTTCAGTCAATACGATACTAATGCATCAGTGTTCTCTTTGCTCGATCATGTGTTGTATAGACGACGTAATGGCTAGAAATGTCTAGTAACTGCTAAAAATGTCTAGTAACTGCTAAAAATGTCTAGTAACTGCTAGAAATGTCTAGTAACTGCTAAAAATGCCCAGTAATGGCTAGAAATGTCTAGTAATTGTTAAATTGTCCAGTAATGGCTAGAAAGGTCTAGTAACAGCTAGACATGTCTAGTAATGGCTAAAAAAGTCCAGTAATGGCTAGAAATGTCTAGTAGCTGCTAAGAATGTCCGGCAAGGGCTAGAAATGTCTAGTGACTGCTACAATGCCCAGTAATGGCTAGAAATGTCTAGTAATTGTTAAAATTGTCCAGTAATGGCTAGAAAGGCCTAGTAATGGCTAGACATGTCTAGTAATGGCTAAAAAAGTCCAGTAATGGCTAGAAATGTCTAGTAGCTGCTAAGAATGTCCGGCAAGGGCTAGAAATGTCTAGTGACTGCTACAATGCCCAGTAATGGCTAGAAATGTCTAGTAATTGTTAAAATTGTCCAGTAATGGCTAGAAAGGTCTAGTAATGGCTAAAAGTGTCCAGTAATGTCTAGTAATGGCTAGTAATGTCTAGTAATGGCTAAAAATGTCCAGTAATAAGTAGAAATGTCTAAAGATGGCTAGAAATGTCTAGTAATGGCTAGAAAGGTCTACTAATGGCTAGACGTGTCTAGAAGTATTGGCAGTTACAAGAAGCCAATAAAGTAAACTCTGCTTATGAATGCAGAATAAACTGAACAATAATGGTATGTTAACAGTGTTATAATTCCTAGCATCAGTGTGTCACTTCCAGTCCAGAGTCAGTGAGTTTGGTTTTACGCCGCTTTTAAAATATTCCTGCAATATCACGGCGGGGAACACCAGAAATGGGCTTCACACATTGTACCCATGTGGGGAATCTAACCCTGGTGTTCGGCGTGACGAGCGAACGCTTTAACCACTAGGCTACCCCGCAGTAGTACAGGAAGTACAGAAGTCCGAGCACTGGCTGACGTGTTTATTGGGGAAGCAACCTGTGGATAAATTCAATAAGTAAAGGTTGTCCGGCATGGTGTGCCGTCACACAGACCATGTCAGTTTTGTACCCCAATCTTAATTGTTCAATACAATCTATTCTATCAAATCACAATATGATCAAAGTGAACAACTTACTGCTCTGTTAAATACAACACTTCCACATTTCCCACACAACAAGCATTCATCTAACATACATGTGGCACATACAGTGTTTATAGAGGGCGGTCATGTGACCTACCTCAACAACATGTGCAGGGACTGCACGTGCCAAAGGCCAGGATGTACCTGTCAGGCCACAAGTATGGTGGGCTGTTTACGCCAACAAATACGCCTGAACAGTATGGTGCGCAGTTTATGGCAAAACAGATTTTAACCTGTAACCTTGTAACCAAGAGGAACACCGAACTCTTCTTCAAATGTATATCTGTGTTTGTCTAGACACGTCAACAAGATCACCATCGACTACAACGACAACAACGGCAACAGCAACAACACCAGCTGGTGCACCATCTAGTGAGTACTGCCCATGGGCTAGCGGATAGCACTTGTATCATGCAGCCTCATAAATAGAGAATATTAACCTCGTGTGTTTACGTGTCATTAATATCATATCTTAGGAATAAAAACAGGAATAAAAATTGTATTATGCGAGTCTTTATCGATAATAATACATATTTTTTTATTCCTAATATATGATCTTAATGATACGGAAACCCACCGAGGTTAATAATGTCATTATCATATAATGTCATTCTTAAAATTACTTTTATAAAAAGCAAATCGTACGTGAATTTATATATGAAGAGAATCGAGCATTCACGTAAGAATACTTAGCGGTACACCAAGGTGAAGGTCGTTCATGACGGCGGCATATGGTTGTGACAAGTCGCTAATACAGTGCAAACATAACTCATGCCTAAAATAAGATCTTTCTCTCTAAAAACAACAACAAAATCAGGCAGGGTTTTCTTGGTAGTGTTTCTATTTTCAATGCGGGTAATTACCTCATCAAGTTCAGTTTCTGATACCTGACGGAATCGATTCATCGTCTTCTTTGTTGTGATCGATAGATCGAAATCCTTGGTTGGTACCTTTCTTAGACGGTCGCCTTTCATTCGTGCCTCATAATTCGTACCATCAATTTGAACGAAGTGCTCCGTTTCATGTTTTCCAAAGTCATTTACTGTAGTAACGACTCCAGGACCTCTGTCATCAATTCTTACAGAATCACTAATTTTGTTAATGGGGGCAGCCATTTTTGTTTACAAACTCGTCCACGCAGTGTAAACTCGCGACGACGTCATCAATCAAGTGTCATCAACGTTTTAGGATTCGCATGCAACGTATGGAGTTTTGAGAAAGTAGTTCGTGGATTGACGTAATTCGCATAGTTATCGGATTTGGATACCAAGATTATCAGATTGCTTTATTGCACCGATAACACCTTCCATTACGTGATAAATGTCTCTACCGACTGTAGCCGCAATGTGTTGGTCACTCGAGGTATAGTAGTCAAATACCAGCACTTGTATCATACCGCCTGAGAAACGTCTCTACCGACTGTAGCCGTAATGTGTTGGTCACTCGAGGTATAGCAGTCAAATACCAGCACTTGTATCATACCGCCTGAGAAGCGTCTGTACCCGCAAAGTGTTGATAACTCGAGGTATTGTAGTCAAATACCAGCACTTGTATCATACCACCTGAGAAACGTCTGTACCGACTGTACCCGCAAAGTGTTGATAACTCGAGGTATAGTAGTCAAATACCAGCACTTGTATCATACCGCCTGAGAAACGTCTCTACCGACTGTAGCCGTAATGTGTTGGTCACTCGAGGTATAGTTGTCAAATACCAGCACTTGTATCATACCGCCTGAGAAACGTCTGTACCCGCTAAGTGTTGATAACTCGAGGTATTGTAGTCAAATACCAGCACTTGTATCATACCGCCTGAGAAACGTCTGTACCGACTGTAGTCGTAATGTGTTTGTCACTCGAGGTATAGTAGTCAAATACCAGCACTTGTATCATACCGCCTGAGAAGCGTCTGTACCGACTGTAGTCGTAATGTTGGTCACTCGAGGTATAGCAGTCAAATACCAGCACTGATCTAGCTTCTCGGTATTTCTGGCCGAAATGAGTTTGATCCGAGTACTACAGAGAAACAGAAAGTAGGAATATTGAATTCATATCAAAATTTTGATCTATTTCAATAGCTCCTTGCTATGTGTCTAAGCATGGCCAGACAGTCGGGCAAGGGGATCTGATTCATGGCCAGACAGTCGGGCAAGGGGATCTGATTCATGGCCAGACAGTCGGGCAAGGGGATCTGATTCATGGCCAGACAGTCGGGCAAGGGGATCTGATTCATAGCCAGACACTCGGGCAAGGGGATCTGATTCATGGCCAGACAGTCGGGCAAGGGGATCTGATTCATGGCCAGACAGTCGGGCAAGGGGATCTGATTCATGGCCAGACAGTCGGGCAAGGGGATCTGATTCATGTCCAGACAATCGGGCAAGGGGATCTGATTCATGGCCAGACAGTCGGGCAAGGGGATCTGATTCATGGCCAGACAGTCGGGCAAGGGGATCTGATTCATGGCTGGGAAACACCAGAGGATGCTAACAAAATATAGTTCATTCCTTTATCAAGAAAGGCCAATAATTTCCACCAGTTGCAGCTGACACCAATATGCCCGTTATGGTTGTCTCAGTCAGCTGTTTCAGAGGTAGTTAGTTGGGTCATGGCAGTATGAGTGATAGAATATACATGGGTCGTGTAACATTAACCCCTGCACTTCAGGGTGTTACTGGGATTTGAAACCTCTGATTGACTTGTCAGTTATCCTATTAGAATATGGTTGAGGTTACAGCATTCACAGATGACGCCCGCAGTGATTGAACATAACGAACAATATACATGTGTTACAGCTGCTTTTGCCGGAACGACAAAGACGATGGCAACAACCACGGTGACCAGTGCAGGATCTGAAGATGGCAGCCAACGAGAGCCCGCTGTATCCCTCGGTAACATAATACTTCCACATATGATAACCCATACTCTGGTTAGAGTCACCACCCCGCTAATTCAACAGTCTTCACGGCAACATATTGACTTATGAGTTTCACATCCAGTCTTGTACATACTCGGGACTTTACAGTGGAACATGCTGTATTTACGCCTTAACTAACAAGCTGTATACGTCTTACACACAGTTATATGTTGTACAGACACCTGTACACACTGTTATATGTTGTATATTCACCTTTACACACTGTTATATGTTGTACAGACACCTTTACACACTGTTATATGTTGTACAGACACCTTTACACACTGTTATATGTTGTACAGACACCTTTACACACTGTTATATGTTGTACAGACACCTTTACACACAGTTATATGTTGTACAGAAACCTTTACACACTGTTATATGTTGTACAGACACCTTTACACACTGTTATATGTTGTATATTCACCTTTACACACAGTTATATGTTGTACAGACACCTTTACACACAGTTATATGTTGTATAGACACCTTAGCACGCTATTATATGTTTGCAGACACCTTTATACACTGTCATATGTTGTACAGACACCTTTCCACACCGTTATATGTTGTACAGACACCTTTACACACAGTTATATGTTGTATAGACACCTTAGCACGCTATTATATGTTTGCAGACACCTTTATACACTGTCATATGTTGTACAGACACCTTTCCACACCGTTATATGTTGTACAGACACCTTTACACACAGTTATATGTTGTATAGACACCTTAGCACGCTATTATATGTTTGCAGACACCTTTATACACTGTCATATGTTGTACAGACACCTTTCCACACCGTTATATGTTGTACAGACACCTTTACACACTGTTATATGTTGTATATTCACCTTTACACACAGTTATATGTTGTACAGACACCTTTCCACACCGTTATATGTTGTACAGACACCTTAACACGCTATTATATGTTTGCAGACACCTTTATACACTGCCATATCTTGTTCAGGCACCTTTATACACAGCCATATCTGGTTCAAGCACCTTTATACACTGTTATATGTTGTTCAAGCACCTTTATACACTTCCATATCTTGTTCAAGCACCTTTATACACTGTTATACGTTTTATCATGCGTATTCACCTTTATACACTGCCATATTTTGTTCAAGCACCTTTATACACTGTCATATCTTGTTGAAGCACCTTTATACACTGCCATATCTTGTTCAGGCACCTTTATACACTGCCATATCTTGTTCAGGCACCTTTATACACTGCCATATCTTGTTCAAGCACCTTTATACACTGTCATATCTTGTTGAAGCACCTTTATACACTGCCATATCTTGTTCAGGCACCTTTATACACTGCCATATCTTGTTCAGGCACCTTTATACACTGCCATATCTTGTTCAAGCACCTTTATACACTGCCATATCTTGTTCAGGCACCTTTATACACAGCCATATCTGGTTCAAGCACCTTTATACACTGTTATATGTTGTTCAAGCACCTTTATACACTTCCATATCTTGTTCAAGCACCTTTATACACTGTTATACGTTTTATCATGCGTATTCACCTTTATACACTGCCATATTTTGTTCAAGCACCTTTATACACTGTCATATCTTGTTGAAGCACCTTTATACACTGCCATATCTTGTTCAGGCACCTTTATACACTGCCATATCTTGTTCAGGCACCTTTATACACTGCCATATCTTGTTCAAGCACCTTTCAAGCACCTTTATACACTGTCATATCTTGTTGAAGCACTGCCACCTTTATACACTGCCATATCTTGTTCAGGCACCTTTATACAGCACCTGCCATACACAGCCATCTTGTTCAGGCACCTTTATACACTGCCATATCTTGTTCAAGCACCTTTATACACTGCGCCACCTTTATCTTGTTACACTGCCATATCTTGTTCAAGCACCTTTATACACTGCCATATCTTGTTCAAGCACCTTTATACACTGTTATATGTTGTTCAAGCACCTTTATACACTGCCATATCTTGTTCAAGCACCTTTATACACTGTTATATGTTGTTCAAGCACCCTTACTCAATGTTATATGTTGTATATTCATCTTGTTGTTCAGGCGCCATAGCTGGAGTTGTGTGCGGGGTCCTCCTCGGCTTCGCTATCCTGGTCGTTGTCATCGTCCTGCTGGTGCTCAAACTGTGAGTTGACTAAACTCTTAAATAATCTGGGGCCCGTTTCACAAAGCGATCGTAGCGCTAGTGTATGGGAGTTACGATCACCTTAGCGCTACGATCGCTCGGTGAAACGGGCCCCTGATTTCTTAGAAAACGGTGAAGTCGTTGTGACCACCATTTGAATCCGTGCTGGTAGGACACTAGGTAAATGAGACAGCCAGAGGGGAAGGTCAAGGGATGGGTGAGTGAGCCAGAGGGGTGGGACAAGGGATATGTCAGACAGACGGGGCGAGGAATGGATGGGACAAGGATTATCTGAGACAGACAGAGGGGTGGGACAAGGGATATGTGAGACAGACAGAGGGGTGGGACAAGGGATATGTGAAACAGGCAGAGGGGTGGGACAAGATGTATTTGGTATTTGATACAAACGCAAGGGTGGGACAAGGGATAGTTGGGACAGCCAGCTGGTGGGTATGCCTGTAACTGGTTGTTTATAACTGGTCAATTCCTACTCATTTTGAATTATATGTTTTAGTAAACGAAAGCGTGTTTCTTCGCCGCCAATAATGAAGCCACTTCCGTCAGCCGTCTTCCCCGGTCCAGTGGTCAACCCTACCAGCCACCCTGCCAGTTTCGGATCCATCACGAATACATATGAAGGATTTGAACCTAAGACAAATGAACATGACTACATGGGTGTGTCAAATCCTGCTCATGACACAGAAGACACAACCGGCCCAGCGTCCAACAATGTCGAAACAGTGTATGCCGAAATCATCGATGAGGATTACTTACAACCCATCCACAACCCAGACACCTCCACGTAACCATCCGCACATAAGAAAGTTACATGTAACCATCCACACATAAGAATGTTACATGTAACCATCCACACATAAGAAAGTTACATGTAACCATCCACACATAAGAATGTTACATGTAACCATCCACACATAAGAAAGTTACATGTAACCATCCACACATAAGAAAAGTTAACCATGTAAGTTACATCCCATCCCAACAAAAGAATGTTACATGTAACCATCCACACATAAGAAAGTTACATGTAACCATCCACACATAAGAATGTTACACGTAACCATCCACACATAAGAAAGTTACATGTAACCATCCGCACATAAGAAAGTTACATCTAACCATCCGCACATAAGAATTTTACATGTAACCATCCACACATAAGAAAGTTACATGAAACCATCCACACATAAGAAAGTTACATGTAACCATTCACACATAAGAAAGTTACATGTAACCATCCCCACATAAGAATGTTACATGTAACCATCCACACATAAGAAAGCTACATATAACCATCCCCACATCAGAAAGTTACATGTAACCATCCCCACATCAGAAAGTTACATGTAACCATCCACACATAAGAAAGTTACATGTAACCATCCGTACATAAGAAAGTTACATGTAACCATCCGCACATAAGAATGTTACATGTAACCATCCACACATAAGAATGTTACATGTAACCATCAACACATAAGAAAGTTACATGTAACCATCCACACCTAAGAAAGTTACATGTAACCATCCCCACATCTGAAAGTTACACGTAACCATCCGCACATAAGAATGTTACATGTAACCATCCACACATAAGAATGTTACATGTAACCATCCACACATAAGAATGTTACATGTAACCATCCCCACATAAGAAAGTTACATGTAACCATCCGCACATAAGAAAGTTACATGTAACCATCCACACATAAGAAAGTTACATGTAACCATCCACACATAAGAAAGTTACATGTAACCATCCCCACATAAGAAAGTTACATGTAACCATCCACACATAAGAATGTTACATGTAACCATCCACACATAAGAATGTTACATGTAACCATCCACACATAAGAATGTTACATGTAACCATCCCACACATAAGAAAGTTACATGTAACCATCCGCACATAAGAATGTTACATGTAACCATCCACACATAAGAAAGTTACATGTAACCATCCCACATAAGAAAGTTACATGTAACCATCCGCACATAAGAAAGTTACATGTAACCATCCACACATAAGAATGTTACATGTAACCATCCACACATAAGAAAGTTACATGTAACCATCCACACATAAGAAAGTTACATGTAACCATCCCCACATAAGAATGTTACATGTAACCATCCACACATAAGAATGTTACATGTAACCATCCCACATAAGAAAGTTACATGTAACCATCCGCACATAAGAAAGTTACATGTAACCATCCACACATAAGAATGTTACATGTAACCATCCCCACATAAGAAAGTTACATGTAACCATCCGCACATAAGAAAGTTACATGTAACCATCCCCACAAAAGAATGTTACATGTAACCATCCACACATAAGAAAGTTACATGTAACCATCCGCACATAAGAAAGTTACATGTAACCATCCGCACATAAGAATGTTACATGTAACCATCCACACATAAGAATGTTACATGTAACCATCCCCACATAAGAAAGTTACATGTAACCATCCGCACATAAGAATGTTACATGTAACCATCCACACATAAGAATGTTACATGTAACCATCCCATAAGACATATGTAACCATCCCATCTACAAAAGAAAGTTACATGTAACCATCCCCACATAAGAAAGTTACATGTAACCATCCGCACATAAGAATGTTACATGTAACCATCCACACATAAGAATGTTACATGTAACCATCCCCACATAAGAAAGTTACATGTAACCATCCGCACATAAGAAAGTTACATGTAACCATCCCACATAAAGAAGTTACATGTAACCATCCCCACATAAGAAAGTTACATGTAACCATCCACATAAGAAAGTTACATGTAACCATCCCACATAAGAATTGTTACATGTAACCATCCACACATAAGAATGTTACATGTAACCATCCACACATAAGAAAGTTACATGTAACCATCCGCACATAAGAATGTTACATGTAACCATCCACACATAAGAATGTTACATGTAACCATCCCCACATAAGAAAGTTACATGTAACCATCCGCACATAAGAAAGTTACATGTAACCATCCGCGGATAAGAAAGTTACATGTAACCATCCCCACATCAGAAAGTTACATGTAACCATCCGCACATAAGAATGTTACATGTAACCATCCACACATAAGAATGTTACATGTAACAATCCCCACATAAGAAAGTTACATGTAACCATCCGCACATAAGAAAGTTACATGTAACCATCCCAACAAAAGAATGTTACATGTAACCATCCCCACATAAGAAAGTTACATGTAACCATCCGCACATAAGAAAGTTACATGTAACCATCCCCACATAAGAATGTTACATGTAACCATCCACACATAAGAATGTTACATGTAACCATCCCCACATAAGAAAGTTACATGTAACCATCCGCACATAAGAAAGTTACATGTAACCATCCCACATAAGAAAGTTACATGTAACCATCCCCACATAAGAAAGTTACATGTAACCATCCCACATCAGAAAGTTACATGTAACCATCCACACATCAGAAAGTTACATGTAACCATCCCCACATAAGAAAGTTACATGTAACCATCCCCACATCAGAAAGTTACATGTAACCATCCACACATCAGAAAGTTACATGTAACCATCCACACATCAGAAAGTTACATGTAACCATCCGCACATAAGAATGTTACATGTAACCCGCCAGATATTAGCCAGTCACGTGCAACTGGACACTAGTTACATGTAACCACCCCCACACCAGCCAGTAACGTGCAAAACAGTTAGACTTGTAAATGTGACCAGCTCAACGACACATCTTTCTATGTAACCAGATCCAGGTAGAGAGGGGACAATATACATATGGCAGTTTACCCTGTGTGGTCGTGCACGTTTGTCGAAACCTGATCAGCTATCGAGGTTACAGTGTGCCATCGTGTTCTCTCAACATACCTGAACACAAGTGACAGTCCCCAGTGCCTCCTTGTTTGTGTGCTTTAGAGACAAAAGATACGCCAAACATGACTCATATACGTACTCACTTTACGTATAATGTCTGTGTACTCTTCCTTTCTTAGTACTACTTGCAATATCAGATTTGAAAAAAATTGTCATGCTTATTTTGTTTTACAAATTATGTATTTGCTGGTATATAGTTATTTTATTATTATGTATATATTTCATATCAGATGTTGCGATATATACTCTCCCAAAAAAGGATTTTCACGAATTGTGTGATAACACATACATGTATTTCTGGATCAGTTGCCGCAACATGTCACAGTATAAAAGATCAAATGTCTGTAAACATGCATAACTTATAAAAAGTTCACTAAGTGAAGGCGTCTGTTCCCAGTTGCCTTCAGTATCTGTTGTGGCCACCATGAGCCCCCAAAACTGCTCTGCACCGTCTCGGCATCGACTGAATAAGTATTTGAATTTGACCTTGTGGAATTTTGGCCCATTCCTCTGGCAATATCCGCGACAGTTGATCTAACGTCTGGGACGCCGGTCTTTCATACATACCTTGATGGCAATTTATAGCCTTACAAGCCGATATGTGCGTCGGCCGAGGTCATCCCACAAATGCTTGATGGGGTAGAGGTCGAGCGATTTTGGAAGTCATGGAAGTTGGTAAATGATTATGAATGGTTGGCACCGACACTCTCCTAAAGCCAGGTACTGCCGTTGCGGTTGCTGTTCGATTCCGGAAATGAAATACCCGGATGTACCTATCCTGCGCCTCCTGTGGTAATTCGATGTCTACTACTTTGAGGCCGATGGGGGATAGAATTGATTTCTTAATATCGGTTCCATAAAGGACTGGTGGTACTCTGGTGAACATTGAGGCGACGTCCAACGGCAGATTGAGACTCCCAGGCTCCAGACGTCCAATGGCCATGTTTCTATTTATAGCAGTGAGTCGCGGCGATATTCTTTCATTTAGCTATTTAAAATGCCAGTGACCGTCTAAAAGCAAAACGGCCTTATATGGGCAATGTCCCTGCTACCGATTCCTCAGAACCCATGTACATATTGCGAACCACTTTTTTCCCATTGATGTATTCATGCAAGTTGACATTTTCGAATGTAAATAAATGTATATTAAAGTTTCAGAAGGTGCAGTTTGCGCTGCGCATTCGTTCCATGTACACAAACCACAACTGTTATGGCGACATTAGAATACAGCAACGTATGGTATGGATTTACAACTTCTTTAATATTTACAACACGACGTTTCTGGGCTACTTCTTGCCCTTTCACCTGATGAAGGGGCAAGAAGTAGCCCAGAAACGTACCATATTCACGGTGTTGTTTGTTGTTGCCATGTATTATTTCACCCAACTGACGCACTCTGCAGGGGCAGATAACTCCAGGATCCACGTATATCTGTTGTAAATCTTGTAGATATTGTATATGTGCACCTGTAATTGTTGAGATGTCTCATCGAACAGATGTTGCTTGTGACAACTACCCCCTAACAAGTTACTCCCAAACAGGTTTCGCACCGATATTAGACTAATATTGATAACAAATGGTATGATGAACCAGTTCGAATGCAGGGTTATGAAGCGTCCTTGTGGTGGTAGAACGACGTGGTGTCCCCGTGTTGTTTACCTGATAATTCTGGTGTACCGTTGTATATGTTTCATCTGTATATGTACAGTCACCAGCATCCTAACTATTCGTGTTATACTGGAGGTGCTCACCCTGCTAGCAGCGTCATGCACTCCCCACACAGGGGAGCGTGCAATCACTGTTATATAATAACTCAGTAGCGATATTTGTATTTGTAATTTTGAAAATAAAATGTAGCAGTCTGATGACAGGTGTTCAATATATCAGTAAATGGCTGGAAGCAGTGAGTGGGTCAACAGCAGAGTCCAGCACGGTCCGCGTGAAGCCATAATATACTGTGCTTGTTTGACGTGGTCCGCCAGAAACACTCATGTACTGTGCTTGTTTGACGTGGTCCGCCGGAAACACTAATGTAGTGTGCTTGTTTGACGTGGTCCGACGGAAACACTAATATACTGTGCTTGTTTGACGTGGTCCATCGGAAACACTAATGTACTGTGCTTGCTTGACGTGGTCCGACGGAAACACTAATGTAATGTGCTTGTTTGACGTGGTCCGCCGGAAACACTAATATACTGTGCTTGTTTGACGTTGTCGGTATTGTTTGTGATATGCTGACCACAGGATCTGGAGACGTTGTCGGTATTGTTTGTGATATGGTGAGCACGCCTTGAAGGGTTGTGTCCCTTCGGCGATGTCTCCAGCAACGTGAGGTCTGCGTAACGTGATCTCCGGGCAGGGGATAATGGAGACTGGTCGTTGTAAATGTACTTGGTTGGTTGGTTGGTTGGTTGTTTAACGCCGCATTCAGCAATATTCCGGCTATATGGCGTCGGTCTGTAAATATAATCGAGTCTGGACCAGACAAACCAGTGATCAACAGGGGGACGGACAGAATCCCAACCGGACAAAATCCCATAGGACAAAATTTCTTTGGACAAAATCTAACACCAGAATGACCAATATAGGACAAAATCCCATTCTTATATGTCTTGCTACCGTGAATCCCCGTGTTTAGGCCCACACGAAATTTAGCCTATGGGCTAACATTTGGATTTAATTCTTGGTTGTTTAGAGTGACGTCCCTTTCCAAACGCATGGCGAACCTCGACGATTTCAACCTTAGTAGTGCCTCTGCGAGGTTATCATGTTTACAGAACATTTTGGACACCGGTTACAGGGCAGTTATTAGTGACAGAAATTGATCATCTTAACCCCTTTGATGCGCATGCAGTTACAGTTAAATTGAACCACGTGTTCATTAGGCATATTCCACTTGAGCAAAGCCGTGTGTGTAATTTTTTTTATTAGAAGAGGCGGGGTCATTCAAGTGCATGTATATGACACTCGACCCAGACGTTCATATCTTGAATGTTAAGGGAAATTGCATTAAAATAAATTGTGGGTCATTTTTCACACAGTTGGGATTTTGTCCGCAGTGTTCAGACATTTTGCCCTGTGGGATTTTGACAGGTTGGGATTTTGACAGGTTGGGATTTTGTCCGGGTGGGTTTTTGTTCGGGTGGGTTTTTGTCCTACCCTGGATCAACAGCATGAGCATCGATCTACGCAATTGGGATACGATGATATGTGTCAACGAAGTCAGCGGCCCTGACCACCCGATCCCGTTAGTCTCCTTATACAAGCATGGATTGCTGAAGACAAATTTTACAATACTCTCCATTCCGTGCCTATCTACAATACTCTCCACTCCGTACACGTCTACAATACTCTCCACTCCGTACACGTCTACAGTACTCTCCACTCCGTGCACGTCTACAATACTCTCCACTCCGTACACGTCTACAGTACTCTCCTCTCCGTACACGTCTACAATACTCTCCACTCCGTACACATCTACAATACTCTCCACTCCGTACACATCTACAATGCTCTCCGCTCCGTACACGTCTACAATACACTTTCTACATGACACTCTGTGTTTATTTAAAATATAGGACGTAAAGGTATACATCCCCGTTAAATATTAATATAAGATGGAACTCACTCACGAGGTATAAGAAGTATTGCTTGTTTTCAATCCGTGTCTTCCTGGAGCAAAATGTGAGTGAGAAGTGGAGATTTAATTAAGAAAAGACTGCAAGAGATCGAATGATCCAATACGCTTTTAAGTCAGGGCACATAATAATGTGGATACCCTATCACATACACTGCAACTCTGAAAGCAACTATTAATACAAAATTATTGCTAGTGAAATTATTTAAAATTAATATGTACATGAGTGTATAATCCGATGTGGCCAAATTCATCTGATACACCGTTCACAACACGATGCTTCAAACGGAGACACACTCATGAATGCTTACGTCCATAATCAGCATGCATGTTGAAATGTTTCCAATATCTAGATTGCCACTTTCAAACTGAGTAGATAAACATTGCTTGCACTTTCAGCACTTGATGTGAATTCACTATGGTTAATTTATTATAGGAAAAAAGAAAGTCCACGCTAAAAAAAGTACTGGTAAAAAAATCCTTGGTGAAAAAGTCCGTTTTAGTGACAGAAATTGATCATCTTAACCCCTTTGATGCGCATGCAGTTACAGTTAAATTGAACCACGTGTTCATTAGGCATATTCCACTTGAGCAAAGCCGTGTGTGTAATTTTTTTATTAGAAGAGGCGGGGTCATTCAAGTGCATGTATATGACACTCGACCCAGACGTTCTGGGTAAAAAAGTACTGGTAAAAAAATCCTTGGTGAAAAAGTCCGTTTTACTACTGATAATAATGTGTTCATTTATATAGCGCCAAACTCCACACTAGGTATGCTCATAGCCCTAACAATCAATAGCACAGCACATTATTACCCCGGATAACCCAAGCTGCCTGTTAGGCGCTGGAAGGCTGTAGTCACACGACTTATTCCAATAAGTCAGGCAATTCTGAACACACTCACTTGCCTAAGGAGAGACCACGTGTATCACGCGTGCTTCGTTGTGGGGCAGGACTGGAGTCCTAGAAACTCTCAGGAGTCAAGTTGGCAAACACGGTCACGCATCCACGACTCTCCGAGCTCGACGTTGCTTAACTTCACCGATTTGTGACCTGGGCACAGAACCACACGCCACCACTGATTTAGTTATACATTTCACAAGATTGACATCAACGATTAAAAGAAGAAGAAATCATATATAACGACAGATTAAAGTTTAAATTTATGTTTGATCTTTTAAACGACATAAAAAACCATGATGTGCTTACGGATTAAATATCTGAAATGACCTTTGATCTGTAGTAAAATCACTTGTAAGTGTCTCAGTGTCTTTACTGATCACCGATTACAGTGTGATTTTAATGGATTGCATCTCAACCAGAACTAGTTACCAGTAAAAACACAGAAGAATCTTGACTCTTGTTAACAGGAATATTAATTAAGAAGATTAATTATGTGGACTGACTCCTCTTCATATTGTAGAGTATAAATATGTACCCTGGTACAACATTGATACCTATTTCATTCCATGATGGAAGTCATTCAGACCAACAAGGGTCGTTTGAGGCTGGCCTTAGATGGCCATATGTACACCAAACACTGTCTGGAAGACCATCGAATGGTTCCAGGAGCAACAGACGACTGTAGCAATGAACATCCGACTTCATAAATATCAGTAGACCTAGACTATCTCATGTCATCATGTGATGCATTATGTGACGTATAACTACTGTTAACTGTAGTCATTTCGTATGATGTTTATATCAACATTTCAATACGTCATTATGTCAGTAGACCTAGAGTACCTCATGTCATCATGTGATGCATTAAGTGACGTATGTGATTACATTTGTTGTTTGGGTGACAATGAAAAAATACAAAAAACATTGTTTGTATGCATTTCATTTTAGAAAATAAGGACAAACTTTATGGATGAACAGCTCCTTTATTCAGGTGATTCGACGTTCGTTTCGATATAGATTATTTTATCGTTGTCAACCAGAATGAATGAATACAACGACAACGATACAAGAATCTGTATCGAAACGTAGCATCACCTGAATAAAGACGTTTTTCATCCGTAAATTATGTCCTTATCTGACTCTCCAACTTCTAAATATGCCACATAAACTAAGAAGGTGACGATTCATATTTTGCATATGTCCACAATATACACACCATGTAATCTGCAATATTAAAGTGTGCGCATCATGTCGGGAAGCGCACGTAAAATATCCAAGTCATCATCGCTGGGGTATCCCTCTTCAGCGCCGCCTGGTGGGATTTCCCTTCTTCCGGTCTCTTCTGCCATATTCAGGTGCGTAAAGATGGTTAATGATTTCACGTGTTAATATCCCCAAACATCCAACAAGTTAGCTGTTTTTCCCAGTTATTTGTGCATTATTTTAAAGCCAGGCCAATACAGCTTTATAACTGTAGACATATTTTATGGATAAATGTCCTTTTAAACTAAATATGACACGTCGAATCAGGTCACCATTCTCGTTTTAGTACATGGAAACATGTCTCGTTATGTTTACGTTTGTTAGTGTTGAGATTTTCGACTCAGTTTAACAAATATGCCGTTGTGAAGTCTTTTGTATGATCATCTAACGCATTCACTGTGATACAGATGTTGCTGATGGATATATTTACGTTGAATGAACAGTGTTCACAATGAATGCGATGGTGTGTGCTAGCTCAAGATATTTATCAGTTACGTTTATGACGGTGTAAAGAAGTAGGAATATTTACTCAAAACAGAAACTGTCTGGTTCCAGTACAATTATGTAAGCCATTGTATCATACTCAGTTATTTTTAGGATTTTCAAAATATGTTTTAATTAAGATGGGGCCTGAATGTTTCACCCCCATCGTGGTCAGTATTATGTGAGGGAGGTTCACTGGATGTGTGAATTATTATTGCTTGGAAAACTTCAGCAGATGCGTGATAATCAAGAGTAGAGTGTTGGAAATGTTCCATCAGATCTTCTAATTTTATCTGACAAATTCAAGCTCATGTTGTCGGGTTTTGGAAAGTGACAAAGTGCTACTGAATAGATTGTGCTACAATATTACCTCTAGTACTGATCTGCTTGTCACAAATTAATGAATATATTTCAGTGTTTAGTTCAGCATGCAGGCTTGGAAACTTTCTCTAGTCGTGTGAATGGTACAAAATATGCAGTGCCCAAAGAGTGCAACAAACTAAACTATAATTTTTATCAGACCTTCATAAGTTTCCCCTTCAAGTACACTCATCTTAGTGACTAGTACATGAATTATTTAGCATAGCATAGCAGTCTTCATTTAGCTTTCAGAAACATCAGGTTCAACCATACATTCCAATGGATCTGACTACTGCAATGTAGCACACTTTAATTGGCTGGTTCAATACGAGACCTATTTGTGCTTAAGCTTCATTTTTCAATATCACTGCGAAATGGTGCAGGTGAACCACATTTTCGTAAATTCATCAAATGAATTGATCTTCGGTAACCCATGCTTGTCGTAAGAGGCGACTTACGGGATCGGGTGTACGACTCGCCGACTTGGTTGAGACACATGTAATCGTATCCCAATGGGGAACATTCCTGGAGTTACGCCCCTTGCCCGCTTTGAGAGCGCCATGTAGTTACTGGGTCCAACAGTACCTGTCACTCTGATACTGGCATATAGGCCTGCCTATCGGCCAAGCCTAAACTTAAATCGACATTAAACCTCCTATTTACTCTGTGGTTCTTATATTACTAATTACAGAAGCTGGAAGTTGCCCCGACTGAAGACTGTTGTCAAAGCACTAAGAACTAGCGTGTCAGGACGAAAAATAATGCTAATAGAACGGTACTGCAGTTATTGTAATACTGCTGTTTCTCGAATTTCTTATTGAGTAGTTGCTTTGTAAATTCGTCAAACCATTTATTCCCCACTATGTCACATTACACAGAGCATTAGCGGCGTAATAGTTGTTAGAACATAGGATTAGTGTACACTGAAATTAGCTGTTAGACAAATAACGTTAGCACTGACCTGATTACTATCAAATAATTTCGTGCTTTCAAGTTTACACAGATTCCCGAACGCTGGTTGGTTGAGAGAGCGGTCATGTGATCTAAATTTCAAGGTTCATTACTCTTGAACCCTCTAATCGCTCATACTTGTGTAAACACCGCTCATACGCAGTGTGAACGCTTTTTTCGCTTCGGTTTCAAGGACCCCAATAATTGGTGATACCAATTTCGCGAATCTTAACCTGTTTCAAGTCACCCCAAGTTTGGCAATGTCACTACCAAACGGATTGCTGAACATTGTTCCTTTTCACAGGAGTTTAATGTCTCGCAGTTTGCGGGTTCATCCGGGCGGTTTTCTGCCCCGAGGTCTGTTTAACAACTGCTCAATAAATTTCACAATAAACAATCACAAATAAATAGAATACAACAAGATCTGTTTCCTATTCGCCACGCGCACAACTTCAAGTCGGTCAGTGTATTATTACGCCGTCAAACAAGGTATTTACAAGTGAAAAGGTACAATGCCAGTTTGTTAAAATGGTATTGTTATTGCTTCTGATATTTGTTTCTGTTTGATACTGTTATTGATTATACTTATTGAAGCAGTTTCAAACCTCATAACTAATTTGTTGTTATATTTTAAAGATCAATACTTTGAGAACTATTTCTTCAAGGGTTGGGATACATGTGTATAAAGAAATCGCTGTGTATACAAACATCGCTGCAAATACGACGCTCTTGAACCGAATGGCATTACAACATTTTACAGGTATTAAAACACACTAAACAATGATCATCTACAAGTGGGTGGAAAACGATGTGTAAACTTCAAAGTGCGAATTATAAGAATTGAATGTCAGTTTTAGTTTTTGCACTGAACGATGAACGAGTCGTGTCAGCTGCTGTTCAAACTCTCGCGTGAACTCGCCAGAACTCGCCGCTCACACGAAGTTTGAACACCGCTTTGACATCGCTCATTTTTCAGTGCAAACACACAAACTGACATTCAATTCTTAATTAAACCCATAGGTGATCCCCTCAAATCCATCATCACCTCACACCCTAAATCCCCCAAATATATTATGAACGGTCCCTTAGGCCATTATTCAATTCCCAAAATGTACAGTAATTGGCATAATGACCCCACCGCAATCTGTACCCATTTTAAAGGCTGTCTCTTCTCAACACAAATAACCAGTATCTAAATGACAGATCACATTTTGAAAACACAACAAGAATTGTGTTTCAGGTGTTGTCAAATAATGTAACTAAGCATGGGTTAAATACTGAAATATTATAAACACATTGAACCTTTTACTGGAGGTCTGAACTATCTGATGCCAGAAGCAAGGGGTATCGGATCATTTTCTTTAAAGGTGGGAGCCTTTTAAATTTGAATACAAATATTTCACATTTGTTATTCCAGCATGTGTGAAGGGTTTGCAAATTACATGAAGGGTTTGCAAATTACATCAAGGCTTTTGTCAATTATCATCAGACAAAAATCATCAAAGTCTGGGTTGTCATTTCAGTTTTTATTGTTCAACATATTATATTCTGCATGTATGGACATTCATAAATATAGACATACATACAGTAAAAATGATGATCTCCTTTGAAGAACCTTTGATTAACACTTATATCAGATGCATGTTGATGTTTTCCACACTGACAATCATACTGTCAATACTACTGTACAGATAATTTAGGTAACATGCATATGCACCAAAAATGGAAGTACAACAGTTAAGTCTGAATACTTTGACAGTCCTATGTAAATGAAAATTGCTGCAGCACTAAGCATAGTAGTTAGTACTGGAAGCACTGACATGTTTGTCTCTGTGTTGATATACAGTTACTTTCATATTGGCCTGTGCCCAGTCTGAAGAGAAAATGTTTGGCTCAATATTCTTGCCATCAAATTCTTTTTATGGGTGATTGTTTCCTCCCCAGCGACCTCACTGATGTTACATTTAACATCACAAGTATCCACCAGCATTAAGTGGATTAGCTGATACAGTCCAGGGAAAACATCTGTTTTTCTCTGTGTCTCAGAGGTGTTCATCCTGAAAAACATTAGTGGAGTATTACTATCCAAACTGATACAGGGTAATATTATCTCATGACTGCCAGTTATGAGAAAATGTATCAGATTTAAGTTACTATTGTGGAGAAAGACATGTCACATAATTAACATATTCATTTGGATAGGTCAAAGGTGGAAAACATTCTTCTTAAACAAATGTTTCAACTATGGAGAAGCATAATTTAAATATGCTGACATTTTTTCCTTCTCTGAGTGGCATTTAAAAGTTGGTGTGATGAACAACAAGGAGAGTTCTATGGATATACAACTTCTTTTAATATAATATGAGCTTACATTGTGGTGTAGCTACTAACACAGTTATCAAGCAAGTAACTCTCCCTTTTTTTTCTTTTTTTTCTATAGGAGATATGTCTGATACAAAGAAGTGTGTTCAACAAGTACACCAGACATTATTCAGACAAATTCATACCAAAAGTAAACAAACATTAACCTGTATCATGTGTATTCTGGAATCACCTGGGCCTCATCTTTGTGGACAACAGGCACCTGTAGGGAGATGTAATATCATGCATAAAAGGGAAAAGTCAATTGTGTATTAGCATTCTTGGTAAACTTTAAATCCACAATGAACATGATGAAGGGAGCAAAGTTGTTATTGTCAAACATAAACAACTTTGCAAACATGGATATAATGATGCTTACTTGCTTTTAAAAGCAAGAAGCAAATGAAAGTTAACCAACAGGTTCACATGAAAATTACTTGTGAAATGCCAATTACCTTAAAACATTGAAAATAATAAATTGGGGTCTGTTCCAATTTACTTGCCTACTCAACCTACCTGTCATCAGGAGATATAAGCATATGTGAAAATATCACATACAGTAGAATTTTAGTAGATTACACAATGTAACTCAAGTGTCAAACTGACAACTGTATTTAAGATGCATGGCAAGGTGTTGTATGAGAGAAGACAAGCAGGTAAAATCAACAGGCCATATCATGTGATGAATGCTTTGCTAAGATATAATTGGAAAGAGTTCCTTAGTACCCCGCCTACCATTTTTGTGATGAGCAAACACTATAGTTTAGCCGTATAATTTATAGATAAAGATTAGGTGGGGGTAATGAAGGAACTCTTACCCACCCTTGTAAAGCGGAAAGATTGTGTACTGTAAGTTTTGATGATTACTACAGTGAGAGGCCCCTAATGTTTCACAGCGTGAAAAGTTTTGTACAGCATGTGTCCCTCTTGAAGCAACACATTCTTTTTCCCTGAATCGATTCAAATCCCCTGCCTCGTAATTTCGTTGGCATGCACGCTAACTAAATTTGGCATGGGGAATAACAATAACAACGTTTTCTTCAAACTGTAAAAGATACAAAATACGTGGTACTTACCATAATTAGATACAGTAACGAAATCGGCTCTGTCAGAAGTGGAACTGGCACACAACACTGAGAGTGAGACCAGCGAGCTGACGGCTACCTCGCCATGCTTTTGTTTCATCTGGCCGCTACTTCGTATGATAGTCAACCACCATTTCAGCAAGTTTTGACCTCTCGACACGTCGCCGAACCTCTATTGCAGCATCTCGAGGCACGCAGCACGCGGTCAGGCATCGTTATATTAAGCTGCGCATTTGAAATCGACCGCGGCAACAAACTTTGAACGCCATCATTATGCCGGAAGTACACTTAGGACTGTAGTGATTGGCTTCATCTATTGGCTAAGCAGTAAAGGGAGATAACTGAGGAATGTTCCCCATTGTGTAGATCGATGCTTATGCTGTTGATTACTGGATTGTCTGGTCCAGACTCGATTATTTACAGACCGCCGCCATATACTAGTAGATGGAATATTGCTGAGTGCGGAGTAAAACTATACTCACTCATCCTGTATTGTGTTGACTTTTGTTGTATTTGATACTGACTGTAAATAAGAAAGATCCACTGGTTTGATGAAGTCAGCAAACAGTACTGTTTAATTAGTCGTAATATTATAGGTCATTTATAGTAAAAGACAATGCTAACAGTAGAATGTGCCTAGACATACCTTTTAATTCAAATAAAATTAGAAAAGTTTAACTGCATCAAAGTGATATCGCAGCTAAATAACCATTAGTAGAATACAATCTAGGTCATATCATTGTTTTACCTCGACTCACAAATATATTAATCATAATATCATTAGTGTTAGGGATCCTTGCAGGCAATATGAGTGTCCTGTGAAGTAACGGTGTAGAGAACTGTGCATTCTGATCATTTCTTTTAAACCTGGATTGAATTGTTGATCACAAGGACTGGTGTATGAAATGATCCACAAACAGCCAAACACTTCACAAAATCCTAGATGTGTTGTCGGTACAATGAATATTATCTTGCCTCACACTTAAATGTCATTTTCTGATTGGCTGAGCACTCTTCTATTGTTTTCAATGTACCCCGCTTACAAGCAAGTAACATTTTCAATGTACCCTGCTGGGAATGCTGAACTCATTTGGTACTTCGTAGTAGTAATTCTTTATCTCCAATAACATTGAATCATGTATGATGTACGGAAATTACCGATGTTTTATGAATGCAAATCGATTGGAGATAACTCTGAATTTGTTTTTCTTATCTTGTCGTCTGGTACTCCATACTATGATTCGATACCCGTGCTTCAAACAGTTCAAAATTACCATTGATGTTTCTTTGTGTTCCCCTCGCCCTTTAGGCTCAGGGAACATAAACATCGAGGGTACATCAGCCCATGTCCCCCTTGAGACCAGTGAACAACTTATGATATTCTGCGCCCCTCAGGAAAGGGGGTATTTTTTAATCTGTGTCCATTCTCTAAATTTTGGTGCGTATTGGAAGCACATTTGCACGTTTCGTAAAATGTCAGGTATTAAACCTTCCATACCATGTCAGGTATCAACCCTTTCATACCATGTCAGGAATCAAACCTTTTGTACCATGTCAGGAATCAAACCTTTTGTACCATGTCAGGAATCAACCCTTTCATACCATGTCAGGAATCAACCCTTTCATACCATGTCAGGAATCAACCCTTTCACTTTATAAATGTGTTCCCAGTGGTGTTATGCCGCATAATTTCAATTGCATCTCAACAACAACTGATGGTGCATTTCTCCTTCCAGACTTCTGACAGTCACCCCGCTCCTGATTAGGTGAGTGTTGCTCTATGAGATGTGATCTTGCTTTGTCACACATGATCGATAATTCCCACTGCTGGGTAAATAATGGCTGATTTTATCAAAAACACATTTTAATGTTTTGGGATAGAATTCTGGAGTTAACTTTAAATTTAACTTTTAAGTTGCATGAAGCGAGTCGCAACTGACAGGGAATGAGGGTGCTGAAGGACAGGGACTCTGCATAGTCTTGTACACAGCAATACAGCTTTCATCACTCTCTTTGTGGGAGCTATGGTGATGTTGCTTGCTACCCTATCTCTGTAAAATCTGGTTGAATTGCTATACAATGCATGCACCTTATGTCAACCACTCCATTCTCTCTGTCAAATTTATTACATGTAGAGTTGCTGCTTGTATGTACATTGTCACCCCAACCTTCACCACTCCCAGTTTCCCTGTCCATGCAAGAGTGACACCCTGGCCTGTACTAGTCAGTGTACACATCGAATTTTGTGGTTTTGCAAAACCCTTTGTTACTTGACACACCCTTACTGGTCATAAGATGCTACCAAATCGTTGAGACTTGGGCTTTGGTTGATGTGGCCACCTTACCAGCTGACATTGTGGCTTTATTTTACACAATATTGATCAGTAGCCACCTTACCAGCTGACATTGTGGCTTTATTTTACACGATATTGATCAGTAGGTTGAATATCTTGATTAGTGGACTATTTCTGGGTGTGACAACCAAACATGATCGCTCCAAGTTGGAAGCAGTTTACAAACTGGTGGTTTTATACTTGTAAGACAATATATCTGCATCCTGATCCGTGACCGTGCAGTACATACCACGGTGGGCAATGCCATTTCTATACATCACTCGCTGTCACAAAACAACACAACACTCCATATCACAGATGACATTGTTGCACAATTTGATGATACAAATTTATCTACTAGGAATATATGGAGTCATTTACATGTAGCTTGTATGATACTGTGAAGTTACCTTACCTCAGTCATGGTAGTATGCACATTACCATGAGGTAAGGTAAGTATTATAATATCTAAAATATTTAGATTATATAAAATAGTTAAACCCAATTTCACTTCAGCTCACCTCACCTCACCTCATTGACAAGTAGCTTGTATGATACCATGATTCTCATTGACAAGTAGCTTGTATGATACCATGATTCTCATCGACAAGTAGCTTGTGTGACAGTGATTTTCATCGACAAGTAGCTTGTATGATGCATGAAATAAACACAGATACTTGATGATGCGTGACAAGAGATTGGGAGAACCAAGGTGGACTGAGATAGTAGCGTATTGCTCCTTCCTGTTTGCTTACTGTAGCTGAATGTGAAGTGGAGTAAAATCTCTCAATATAGTCCTCTGTGTACATCGAGTTAAGCCACTAGAATTACTCGTCATGTTTCAGCTGACTTCACTGTCTATAGCAAGCTTCACAGTCGTTTGTGCAGTTTCACAGTCATTTGTGCGGCCTCCCAGTATTCCATTCACACCATTGGTCTGTTTCCTCTACTGTAATATAAGTTGATAATGTCAGGATGCAGGACCATGGTCTGTTCCTGTCCCACAGTGTGAAGGGTCCGAGTTCAAGCCTGGACCAAGCAACAATGATGTAGCCTGTTGCCCAGGTAACAACTGGTTCAACTCACCCAAGTGCTGCTTGAGGCCAGGGGCACGGCTTGACATCTTCACTGTTACGTCCTTCTTGGCTCCTATTTTCTTGCAGGACACAATGCTGAAGTAGGCTCGTCTGAACTGTGAGTTCATCAGTCCGTAGATGAGTGGGTTGATGGCACTGCCCACATACACCGTGATGGAGCAAAACATGTGGAACTGCTTGGACAGAACAGTGTTCCAGTCGATGATGCTGGACACGGTACAGGGGAAATAGGACATGGCAAACACGATGAATATCGCGATCATCATGCGAGTCAGATGCATCTCCTTACGTTGATTGTGAAGGTCAAGGATAGAGTTCAGGATGGATGGTCGCACCATACGACGATGACTGGCTCTAGTTGTACTGTAGATCCGGGCGTAGAAGAATGTGATGAGCACGCTGGGAATGACTGCTCTGATGAGGAGGAGGAAGAGCTTGAAGGCCTGGCTGTCATGGTCAAGTATCAAGTTGCATGTGACCAGCATTGGGACGTTAGCCAAACTGGCCCCATGCTCCCACGATGGCTGGTGTCAGTCCCAGCAGAGGGAGAATCCAGGCCACCATCAGCATCGCGCTGATGTTGGAGGGAACAAATATTGTCTTGTAGGCAGCCAGGTCGGTGACCATCTTGTAGCGGTTCCATGCTATCAGAGTGATGGTGATGATAGTTGTACCTGTGGACAAATGGTGAAATATTAAAACCAGTAAATCACTTTGATAATCTGTGTAACCACTGGTTGATAGTATGGAAAATCTCATTTAGATAGGTGTTAAAAGAAACGGATGATGAAACATCTTAATGTGAAGAGAAACATTTTCTTTGCAAAAGTAGCTTAGGTCTTTTCACAATCCTTCATCTGAATTGGAAGCATCCCTGATAGTTACTTTGAAGTGGGTCCTGAACTGGGGTGGTTTCTACCTGTGAGAGTGTATCCCAGGATGCCCACAAACTTGCAGAGGTTGGTGTCAATGTACCAGCCGTCAGCTATGTAGGTGTAGATGTTGAACGGCAGGACGAAGAGTAGAAACATTAGGTCGCACACGCTCAGGTTCACCACAAACATGTTAGACACTGTCTGCAGTTTCCTCGTGGTCTTCACAGCTAGGATGGCCATTATGTTGCCTGCAACAGATGATGGAAGCAACAGATGGAAAGGTGCCTGCCTTGTGTATACCTATTTATTCCAGACTTGACACATACTGTTGTGTTGGAAACAGTGGGAAGTTTGAGATGTGTCCATTACTATCCAATCATACTCCGCACCTCTGAATGGAACAGATGGTTGGGCAGCTGTATCACAGTTGATGTTAATCTGTGTAAAGTACTTGTCCTACTCATAGTTCTCATGTCAGTATTTTATATATTTATACATACAAATATGGGCTACATAATGCAGAGATGACATTAACACAGTATTCAAAGAATGTTTGGCAGTATGTTTTGATGACAATAGAAATAGACTACCCACTGAAATAAACATACCATGTTTTCAGTGTAGGGCTAGGTTACCTGTAGATTTATATAAGCTGGTTTGAATTTGGAACTGAACATGATCGTGTAATTAAACTGTTTATCCTACAAAATACAGGGTTAAACAGCTGGACCAGTGTGTGACTCTAGCGACTCTCCAATCATGTCTATCCAACAATGACTACCTCTGTGGTCGAGCGCATCGAGTAGAGAAGGAATATAAGTGGAAAGATCCCAACCACGATAAATCAAACTAAGTCAAAAGGTGGTGTTAATTGTTTCCTCTGCCTAGCTCTGCATTTATATAATAAACGAGACAGTCTACTTTGTCCAAGTAGGGTAATCGTGTTTAATTCGCCCTGGTATCTCAGTGGCCAAGTGCTATAATACCGAAAGAGCAAGCTTTCACACACACACACACACACACACACACACACACACACACACACACACACACACACACACACACACACGACACACACACACACACACACACACAACACACACACACAACACACACACACACACACACACAAGACACAAGGTCACACAGATGTGCAGTAACCTTGCAACTCCATTTCCCCACCTGCACTTGATTGAGTGACAATTGCTGAACTTACCAGCACAGCCAGTAATGATGATGATGGCCATTACAATGACAGCAATGTACATTGACACACCGGAGTCGTCCTTGTCCACAGAGTACATCCATACCAGTTCCTCGCGGGTTGCTAGTGGAAACTTGACACGACTTGAGCTTCCATTTGTGTGCACCATGTTTGTCTGTTGTGTTAACAAAAACCTTTCAGCTAAGGTAATTAAAGGAACACAAATCTGTAAGCCGTGGCTGTCTTCCCGACCCAGTCTTCCTTGTGAAGTGTATTACCCTGGCCGGGACTCCTTGTCTCACAGACCTATCAGCTCTTCATTGATCCACTGGCCACGCTTGTAGCATTACAACAACACTTCATCACCAAGTTGGTGGAAGGCTCACAGATGTAGTTCCTTTCAGAAGTTTGTGCATATACGTGATGACAAGGATTCAACCTCAGTAGCACAGCTCATTAATAAGTAACCTTTCAAGAAAACTTTCTACTTTTCTGTCAAAGAAAACTTTGCATTCAGGACTTTAATCAAATCCTGTACTGTATCATGTGTAGTGGACCGACATTGGTAAACTATGTCGTCATTGTGGTGTGTCTGATCCCCGCCCCCCAACCTGATGTGGGTGGCTGGCAGCACCATGACATCAGACTCCTGCTAAGTCTGGGAATTTGCCATTAGTACATGGGAGCTGTCTTTTGATTGGCCTTCTGTACGTCTGAACGTGGCTCCTGATTGGGTATCTTTATTGGGGGCTGGACGTTTGCCAAGATTTCTCTGATAGATATATTGATTGTTTTCTCTGATAGATATATTGATTGTTTTCTCTGATAGATATATTTGTTGTTTTGTCTGATAGATATATTGATTGTTTTCTCTGATAGATATATTGATTGTTTTCTCTGATAGATATATTGATTGTTTTCTCTGATAGTTTTCTGATAGATATATTGATTGTTTTCTCTGATAGTTTTCTCTGATAGATATATTGATTGTTTTCTCTGATAGATATATTGATTGTTTTCTCTGATAGATATATTGATGGTTTTCTCTGATTGATATATTGATTGTTTTCTCTGATAGATATATTGATTGTTTTCTCTGATAGATATATTGATTGTTTTCTCTGATAGATATGTTGATTGTTTTCTCTGGTGTCTACAACAGCAGTTTAACAACTGCATATGAATTTGTTGTTATCAATGTGAGCAGTGTCCAGACATGTGCCCCATGTCCCCAGATAGCATAGAACCTAGTTAGTCATCACATCACAGGTCTGACTGATGTGGGGCGGTGGGGTAGCCATACTCAGTCAGTCAGTCAGTCAGTCAGTCACTCAGTCAGTCAGTCAGTCAGTCTTACTGATGTACTGATTTAGGAACACTGACTTCAGCAGTAAGTTTCAGTTACCATGTCTGTACTGAGACTTCATCTTGCCTCTTCAGTGGAGGAAACTTATAGCGAGCACTGTTTGGTTTTTAATTTTTATTAAATGTCTACAAAGTAAACCTTCCATAAATGTCGCCGTTCACCGATGATTTGAAGTATGTTGTTTTCCATTGGTGATTTTTACGTGTGTGTTTAAAGTTCCCCCACCATTATTTGTCAACAGTCGATATTTAGTTAACAATTATGCTATAGTTTGGTATGATCTATATTGATAGTCAACCCATGTAGCTTTGTAAAATCATGACTCAATGTTGTGAGGAGATGAGGAGACAACCATATTGCACCAGGGGTAACACTAAGTGTTGATGTGGTATTTTCCCACAGGTTTTGGTTTACGTGCGTCAGTGAGCTCACCCGTTGTTGTTTGTGTTGCAGGTAACGAACCAGTCAGCACACAGAGATGGCAAAGTCCAAGAACCACACCAATCACAACCAGAGTAAGTCCAATGGGCAGTATACGGTCAGCAGATGGCTGTAACTGCTAATTTTTTTTATCTCAGGGTCTTGTACAAGATAAATGATTTGAACTTGTTTACATTTTGATGTATCACAAAATGTTTATTTCTCATGTAAATTTGCGATAAGGAAAACCATAGCCTTTTCATCTGTATTCAGTATTTAAGGATATTTTAGAAGTTTGACCTTATGACTTTATTTTAAGTTTTTCTTATTGGTGTGACCGACACTGATCGGGAACTTCACTGATAGGAGTGAAGACAGATTGTTTGAAGATGAACCACACCCTTCCATCCAGTTAGGTATTGAGCTAACAGATTGAATAATGACATCAGAGCCTCTTGTGATCCAGTTGAAATACACAGCCTTTCTAGCTTGGTTTTTATCCAGGCAAAACTGAAGCACTGGTCCTTTTGTATTTAGTTATGAAGGAATACATAAGTGATAAATCGCTTCCTACATTGTAAGTTGTTCAATGGTTGTGAGGGGGACATGGGTTGATGTACCCTCTGTTTGTTTCTGTTCCTGAGCCAGAACGGTGATGGTGGGTTGATGTACCCTCTGTTTGTTTCTGTTCCTCAGCCAGAACGGTGATGGGAACGTAAACATGGAGCAGGGCTCCAGATAATTTTTCAACATCAGGAATACGTACGGCTTATTTTTTCAATATAGGAGTACTGGTAAAACTTAAGAAGACATTTAGAGCACTGAATGGAATCTAATGGAATATCTACACTTGTGTAAACAGGTCAATAAAACAAGATAAATACACCTGTAAATGATTCTAAGACTGTACACCAGTGCTGTGGTGCGAATCTGCTACATTTTCAACATTATTTCTTCCTCTATTGTGCATATTTTTTGTCTGTACACACGCCGATACAGCCGTTACCTGGAGCACTGATGGAGGGTACATCAACCCGAAGGCCCCTTGAGAGTCGTCTCCCTGGGCTAGCTCCCTTCCATCGATTCTCATTAGCAAAATATCTAATTTCCGTACATCAGACGTGACTCAATTATTAAGATATAGAATTACTGTTTTCTTGCTGATTTTTAAAAAATAAACAACATAATTAACATTGGAAAGTCAACTGGATACCGGTACAGTGTGATATACAAATTTGCTTGCCCAACAGAAAAAAAACACTGGACTCGGACGTCGGGCAATGGGTTATTTCCACCCCTGCAAATGAAGTCCCACAGTTCGGCATTCCCAGTGGGTAACATAGAAAATGTTACTCGCTTGTAAGTGGAGTATATTGCCAATAATAGAAGAGAACTTAGCCAATCAAACAACGACATTTATGTGTGGTTTAAGATAAATAAACTTTTTATAGCTTTGAGAAACATTTTTACATCAGACATTTGTGACAGTCGTTGTGCAGACATAGCTTTAGAAGATGGATGGCAATGTGATGTACAGATCTGCTGAATGGCCACTTTAGAGAACAATGTTACTTTAATGGTCAGGCATTCATTGCCCCCCAAAATAACCCCCGGTTTTATAGTTGGTTGTGTCGCAGATCCAGTTGGTGTTAGATCTTCCCACTCATTATAGGTATGGGAGCTCCCAGGTATTCACATCAGTCTATACTTCAGTGTTTTGTGTTTTACAGACAGAAAGCATCACCGGAATGGTATCCACCGGCCCAAGTCCTACAGATACCCATCCATGAAGGGGGTAGGTTGTCTTCCCCTGCATCAGCTGCTCACAGCTTCCTGGTCTCAGTGCGTCATTCAAACAGGGCACATCTTTCCAAATCTTGTCATACCAGCTGTCAAATGAGAACCTTTGTTTCACAAAGCTATAGTAGGGCTACCACTGTCATGTTACAGTCCTATGTTACAGTATGGGAGGTACGCCAGTTGTAGGGCTGCCACTGTCGTAAGTCTATGTTACAGCATAGGAGGTACGCCAGTTGTAGGGCTACCACTGTCGTAAGTCTGTGTTACAGTTTGGGAGGTACGCCAGTTGTAGGGCTACCACTGTCATAAGTCTATGTTACAGTATGGGAGGTACGCCAGTTGTAGGGCTACCACTGTCGTAAGTCTGTTACAGTTTGGGAGGTACGCCAGTTGTAGGGCTACCACTGTCGTAAGTCTGTTACAGCATAGGAGGTACGACAGTTGTAGGGCTACCACTGTCATGTTACAGTCCTATGTTACAGTTAGGAGGTACAACAGTTGTAGTGCTACAACTGTCATGTTACAGTCCTATGTTACAGTATAGGAGGTACAACAGTTGTAGTGCTACAACTGTCATGTTACAGTCCTATGTTACAGTATAGGAGGTACAACAGTTGTAGGGCTACCACTGTCGTAAGTCTATGTTACAGTATGGGAGGTACGCTAGTTGTAGGGCTACCACTGTCGTAAGTCTATGTTACAGTATGGGAGGTACGCCAGTTGTAGGGCTACCACTGTCGTAAGTCTGTGTTACAGTTTGAGAGGTACGCCAGTTGTAGGGCTACCACTGTCGTAAGTCTATGTTACAGCATAGGAGGTACAACAGTTGTAGGGCTACCACTGTCATGTTACAGTCCTATGTTACAGTTAGGAGGTACAACAGTTGTAGTGCTACAACTGTCATGTTACAGTCCTATGTTACAGTATAGGAGGTACGACAGTTGTAGGGCTACCACTGTCGTAAGTCTATGTTACAGTATAGGAGGTACGACAGTTGTAGGGCTGCAGGTTTGTGAAACGGGGCACAGGTAGTCCCAGTGTGACGTGTCTGTGGCTCACTGTCTCCCTATACATTCTTTCCTCCATCCAACTCTCTCAACCACTCCTGGGGCAGTGGGGTAGCCTAGTGGTTAAAGTGTTTGCTCATCACGCCAATGGCCCGGGTTCAATTCCCCACATGGATACAATGTGTGAAGTCCTTTTCTGGTGTTCCCCTTCGTGATATTGCTGTAATAATGCTAAAAGCGGCGTAAAACTCACTGACACGCTCCTTGTGTGAAACAAGGATGCTTCTGTCTGACAGGTATGTGTCTGTGTGACGGGCGGCAGTGTGTGTGTGACTGTGTGACGGGCATGTGTGTGTCTGTGTGACGGGCATGTGTGTGTCTGTGTGACGGGTGTGTGTGTCTGTTGTGACGGGCGTGTTTGTGCCTGTGAGACGGGCGTGTGTGTGTCTGTGTGACGGGCGTGTGTGTGTCTGTGTGACGGGCGTGTGTGTGTCTGTGTGACCGGCGTGTGTGTGTCTGTGACGGGCATGTGTGTCTGTGACGACATGTGTGTGCCTGTGAGACGGGCGTGTGTGTGTCTGTGTGACGGGCGTGTTTGTGCCTGTGAGACAGGCGCGTGTGTGTCTGTGTGACGGGCGTGTTTGTGCCTGTGAGACGGGCGTGTGTGTCTGTGTGACGGGCGTGTGTGTGTCTGTTTGACGGGCATGTGTGTGTAGGTATAGAGACAGCAATGCCTTCAGCTCAGCCAAGATGGCGGTGAAGCTGTTTACTTAGCTTCCCTGACATGTTGTGTCTGACCTGATTGACCTTTGGTTGATGGTCTTGTTACTGGGGGAAGGGATTTGCTGACATCTTTTGTAAGATTTGGTCAATCACTTATTGAAGACATACAAACAGTTTTATGAGATGATAAAATTTGTATCAGACATAATGAGGGTGAAAACAAAACTTATACAGCTTCTTGCGGTAAATGAGACTGTGCAAGATCCAGGAATTGTTAGCGATTTATGGTGTTTTTTGTTGGAGTTTTTTTGCATACAGGGCTAGTTGATAAATATGAGAGAGTGAGATGGGGAGAGAGAGAGGTGTGGTGGAGAGAGAGGTGAGGTGGAGAGAGCACGAAATGGAGAGAGATGGGGAGAGAGAGAGGTGAGGTGGAGAGAGAGGTGAGGTGGAGAGAGCGAGATGGAGGGAGCACGAAATGGAGAGAGAGAGAGGTGAGGTGGAGGGTGAGGTGGAGAGAGGAGAGATGGGGAGAGAGGTGAGGTGGAGAGAGGTGAGGTGGGGAGAGGTGGAGGTGAGGGGAGAGAGAGAGAGAGAGGTTAGGTGGAGAGAGAGGTGAGGTGGAGAGAGGCGAGATGGGGGGGAGAGAGAGGTGAGGTGGGAGAGAGAGAGGAGAAATGGAGAGAGATGGGGAGAGAGAGGTGAGGTGGAGAGAGAGCGAGATGGAGAGAGGTGAGGTGGAGAGAGGAGAGATGAGAGAGAGGTGAGGTGGAGAGAGCCGAGATGGAGAGAGGTGGAGGTGGAGAGAGCCTTGAAATGGAGAGAGAGAGGGGGAGAGAGAGAGAGGTGAGGTGAAGAGAGAGCTGACGGATGGAGAGAGCCTTGAAATGGAGAGAGAGAGGTGAGGTGGAGAGAGCGAGAGATGGAGAGAGAGGTGAGGTGGAGAGATAGATGCTAACCATGCTTCTCCACAGCAGTTGATAAATATGAGGTAGAGGAATTGGTGGAATTCAGTTTACATGATTCAGGCCATGTTGTTTTTATAATGAGTTACTTCCCTTTTGTCTGTCAGGATCTGTTATTGGGGTCTTGTCATGAGTTGTTGGTTTCACCAAAGTGTTAAATGCAGCAGTGTTAGACTTTGCTCTGTAAATGGCCATGCGCAGCAGCTTTCAGACCAGTTGCTTTCAGACAACTTTTTCACTATTTTAATAACCAACTATGTCTCCTTGCAGGTTGATCCCAAGTTCTTGAAGAACCTCAAGTTTGCAAGGAAACACAACAAGAAGTCTGTCAAATAGACACAGCTGCCGAAATATCTTCTGTGTATGTCTTGTGTGGTTAACATTGTGACTATTGACTGCAAGTTCAATAAAACATCTTCACAGTGAACAGTCTTTCTTTTCCATGTGTCTGCAAGGTGTTTGGTTTGGAGACTGATGGGGCTGTAGGGTGGCGGGGTGGAGGGTAGCTGGGCTGCTGGCTGGGTGGATGGTGAAGGGGCTGCAGAGTGGTGGGGATGTACAGGCGGCTGGTGGAGCTGGAGCCGCTGCAGAATGGTGG